TTTGTTTTTATTTGCATTTGAAATACAAAATGTAAAATAAAAAGGGAATTATAAATTAATTACAAACTTTAATTACAGTACAGATTTCCTGGTAGTTTTTGGTGCTCTTAAAAACAGTCTGTTGAGTTTAAGTTATTTATGTTTTATAAATCCAGCTGAAGGAAATTATTTTAGAACATAAATATCAAAGATTAGTAGACTTGGACATTGAAAGGTTAGCAGATGTAGAACAGTTGAAGTCTGATTTATTTTTGTTCCTTTACATACATAATTGATAGATAGTACTACTTGGGGTTTATATCACATTACAGCTGATGCACTGGAAGAGAGATGTTTGCTTGAATGAAAAAGACGGTGTACAAGTGGGTCACAAAAATATGTACGTGTAAACAAGAGAATTTTTCATGTTGACCTAGAACCCAGAAATGTTTAAAATACTCTGCATTTATGGTAAAACTATACCTAATTTTACCTCATTAATGTGAAGACTTTTGACACTGCCTCCCACAACATACTCATTAATTAGCTGAAGAAATACAGACTAAATGAAAGTACTGCAAACCGGATACATAACTGGTTGGATCTTTAAGCTCAGCAAGTATACATCAGTGGCAAAATGTCTTGTCCAGAGGAGGTAACAAGTGGGGTTTCCTGGGGGTCTGTCCTACATCATTATTATTTAACATTTTCATTAATTACGTAAATGATGCATGCTTATCAAGTTTGTGGCTGGCACCAAGTTGGGTGGAGTTGTAGATGCTCTGCAGGGCAGGGCTAGGCTTCAGAATGACTTGGATAAACTGGAGAAATGGCCCAAAATTAATCAGATGAAATTTAACAAGCACTAGTGCCAAGTCCTGAACTTGGGATGGAAGAATCGCATGCACAAATACAGGCTGGGAATGATGGCTAGGCTGTGGTACTGCAAAGAAGGGCCTGGGGGTTGCAGTGGACAATAAGCTAAATATGAATCAACAGTATGCTCTTGTGGCTAAAAAAGCCAGCAGCATACTGAGTTCTTTTAACAGGAGTGTTACTTGCAAATCAAGGAAAGTAATTCTTCTGCTCTGTTTACTCCAGGTGAGACCTCATCAGGGTTACTGTGGAAAGAGTCCAGTGGAGAATGAGGAAAGACTGAAATAACTATGTTTCTTTAGTCTGAAGAAAAAAAAGACTGAGGGGATTTGATTATGGTCTTCAAATACCTAAAGGAAGATTATAAAGATGTCAGAGATAGACTTTCCTTTGTGGCTATAGGGGATAGGACTAGGAGTAACAATATTAAGCTGCAATCGAGGAAATTTAGGTTGGAAATTAGAAGGAACTTTCTAACCATGGAAGTGGGCAGGCACTGAAACAGGCTACCTGGAAAAATTGTGGAATCTCCTCCAGCCCTCAAAATTTTCAAAAGTAGGCTAGACAGACATCTGACTAGGATGTATTAATTGGGGGTAATCATGCCCTGAGCAGGGGGCTGGACTGAATGACCTTACAAAGTTCCTTCCAGTCCTACTTTCCTTTGATCCTATGAACTTTTCTGTGCAAGTATAGGAGGGCCCTGGGAGGTGCCTGCTCCTTTAAAAGAGCAAGCAGTCTGAGAGATGGCTTGCAGGTGGCAGATAGGGGCTAATGAGAGGCTCACCTGACCAGGAGGGCTCAGGCTGGAGCTATATCAACCCGGAGCCTGCACTAGTATTGTTACCTTTCCCCATCCACCATGCAGGGAGGAGCTCCAGGCTGCAAGGCAACAGTGTCCCTGAAGGAACCTAGTTTATAAATGACTCTGCAGACCACAGGATTGAGGCAAGTTACCTGGGTTGAGAGACTGGGCTTTTACAGGCAAGTGGCCTTGATTTTGTTAACTCCAGGGGGTTGAGGTGCTTACTAGAGGGTCCAAAAGCTCAAGAGGGCGAAATATACAGGCCAAAGAATAGCCCCAGGTGGGAAGATGTGCCTGGGAGGAGATGAGAAGTTTGCCTTTGTAAAGGGGCAGAGAGAGCTGTTTCAACCATTGTTGTGTTTCTGTTATTGCCCAGAGGCTTATAGTTTAAGGGGTGGTTTTGGAGATCCCATTAGTGCCTGTGAGGCACGTGATTTCCTGGAGCCCTTGCTAGGGGAGGCTCAAAGCCTGAGCTATTGTTGAGCCCAGCGAGGGGCAGTACAAGGCTACAGAGCAGACGGGGGCCAGGGGCACAGTGAGACGGGGGCCCAGGGCCCGAGAGGGGCACAGCGAGATGGGGGCCAGGGGCCTGATGCCCGAGAGGGGCACAGCGAGACGGGGGACCAGGGGCCCCTTGCCAGAAGAGCATGGCCCTAGTGGCTCAGGGGCCTGGCGGATAGAAGCCAGGGACCTGGGAAGAATGAAACTGATAGATTGAAGTTAGTGCCTCAAAGCCAGATGTGGCGTAGTGGCCTAAGAAATCAGCCTAGTGAGATTGAAAGGGATGGAGGCTGGGAAATCTGAGACCCCAACAGAGGGAACAACATTATTATAACATCCACGAGACTTGGGGCATGGCGTAGGGAAGGAAAAGAAGCCATACAATTTGCCCCTAAGGCTGCAGGCGCTCTACAGGGGCGTAGTCAAGCTGGGAGTGACCTATTAGAACAGAGGACTGGGAAGAGAGCTGGAGTGGGGGAACTAGTAGGATTGAGGCTTACTCTGAGGCCTGTTGGTAGCCTCCCTTAAATACTCTTTAATAGTAAGATCAAGACATGGCAGATGAGCAAACTAGAGGGAGAGGCCATAGAGTTTGAGCCAGACAAGAGTTGTGGTTTCACTGAGAGGTGTCATGGTTGCGACTAGTTGCGACCAGTTACAGTAAGGAATTGTCACAATTCTGTCTGACCTGGTTTTCACTCCCAATTGATATTTTTCCTTGTTAATTTTTTAAACAATTGTAGCATCTGCTTGCATAATATCTAATAGTTAAAATGTTTCATAATCTCTGCCCTTGTGCACTATACTTCAATCCTTGATCCATCAATGGAGGACTTAAAAGAGTTCTTCTGTAGAACAGACTCTATCAGCAACAACAATAAATAATTTTGGCTGGTCCCTATCAGGTACCTAAAGACAAGTTATGGCCTACCAGTAGCTTTTATTAACCCACATAAGTTAGATACTGTATTACTAGCTTGCCTCTCTCACATACTGAATCTCCCCTTTTTTTCATTTGTTTATTAATATTTCCTTTTCTCTCTGTCCGATACCTCTCTCTAACTCTGAAGGGAATTTACATTGCTCATTTAGCTGAAAAATCACTGCTGAACGGATTGCCTCAGTTAAGCACAGCATCGGTTATTTAAACCTTATATAATCAATGTGGATGATCATCCACCTGCCTTTTCCCCTTCTCTCCTCCCTTCCCTGCTTCCTCTCCCTTTTTTCACTCTTATGTTATTGTAAATCAGTTGGAGTCCAGATCATCCCACCTCAGGCTAGCAAGGAGTCGCTGCTTATCATCCTGGTCTGTTCACCAGATTGTAGTCTTACACAATAACAGCTGTGTACAATTGACTTCAAACCCAGTCATGAACAAACTGCTTCCTCTGAAGGAACATTATATTAATCCATTACTCTTGGAGGAAAAGAGAGGTAGTAGCTGGGTCTCTGTGCTGGGTCATGTCTACACATGTGTTAATCCACTTTATCTAATTGAGCCTAAAGTAGCTGTAATTGAGTAGCTGTAACCACAGCCCATCCATTCAAGGTGCATCCAAGGTTACAGACCACTAGCTTGTCAATACAGGAGAACTCCTGGGTGTGACTTCATATACATTTAAGCATGCCTGAATTTAATGCACATTAAGCGATTTTGGCAGGTATCTACACATGCAGAGGCTTGGCACTAAAGTTAGTGCCAAGTCCCTGCAGCCCTGCTGTCTGTCCCTAGTGGTTGGGCAGACCTGGCACTAACTTTAGTGCTGGGTCATGTCTACACATGTGTTAATCCACTTTATCTAATTGAGCCTAAATTTGATACCTGCATTTGCAGGTATCAAATTTAGGTGTGATTAGCCTAATTTCACCATTTTTAATGTGCATTAAGGGCATGCGCATGTAGGTGCGCACCTAAAATGCACATTAAATTAGGCTAATGTGCATTAATGTCTTTCATGTAGACTTGCCCCCTATGTTGCTGAGTAAGTCGCTGGTCCACGTGATTTTAGCACCTTCTTTTGAAATTCTGGAGTTCTGTTGAGTAAAGCTGGCCAAAACTCAGGTTTAGCAGTTCATAGGAGAGTTTGTTATTTTAAAGTTTCTTTTCATTCTTCTACCAGTTTTCTCAAGGTGTCCAGACTTAGTGCTATAGGTCTGGGAGTCTCACCCCACTTAGAACCAGGGCTTCCCAGATCTGCACCAAGGAGTCTGAGAACCATACTCTACCTGGATTTGGTTTGAAGATCTGCAGCAGAGAGTCTGCGAGCTCTGAGAAACCTGTCTTTGCAAAACATTTCAGATTCTGTGAAGCAGAGTTTCATCAGAAAAATTCTATCCAGCTCTTCTTTTCTTGAAGGACTGTTTTTTGGGTTTTTTTCTGAATAACTTTTTTGGGAGCTAACACAGGTCTTGTACAGACATTTAGCGTCTGGAGATTATGAATGTCTTTACAAGTCAGTTCTCTCCCAGGAGAAACCACAAGTAGACAGACGTTCAGGCTTTTTCTCCCGAAGTAAAAATGACAGCTCCAGGAGAAAAATAACCTGGGACCCAGGGTTAAATCCCACCCCTCGAAGAGTTTCTCCTGAAAGAGTGGCTTCTCTCAGAAGTGAACATAGAAAGAGTGGTTTCTCTCGGAAGAGAACATAGTCCTCCGGTATGCTGAAAAGTGTGCGCAGCACCCTGCCCCCATCGGGCAGGAATCTTGCCAGTTCTTGGCAATAGTTGCTCATATGTCCTGAGCTCAGTACCTCAATGATGGGTGTAATAGATGTGATTAAATAGAGAAGACATTGTTTTTAATCTTAAACTTACTTTCCATGCATTTATCTCACAGGCTATCACTAAACCAAGAACTGGAGAGAGCAGAAGCACTGATGACTATATCCTGGTTTCCAAAGAAGAGGAAGGAAACAGAAGTTCTCTGCCTGAGCATAGACTTCTTCAAGCACACAGGGAGGGAGCCATGAAGAATGAGGCTCCATCTCGCTCTTCTTTGGTCTTCTCTGATCCTCTCATGGGCTCTATTTCAGCATCTTCTAGTAACCTAAGTTCCAGCCCTGATGATGACAGTAGCAATAATAGCAAGGATTCTGACTTCACTATTGTTAGTCCTTTGGACATCTAAATATAAACAGCTTTGGAGAGTTTGTGAGGTCAATTACTACACCTCAGCTGAAATAACTTTGATTCCACAGGGCAGGATGACTCAGGAAGACAAAAGGTATGCAAAGTAACCCATTTCAGCTGCTAGAAGTCTAAATAGTAAATCAGAGCAGAAATTTGGTTGCATCTCTTAAAGAAAAAAAAGAAAGAAAATAAAAAGGAGAATATCCTTAATAACTGATTGAAATACATACATTGTCATAGCCAGATCTAATATACAACTACTGTTAGTTGTAGAATTATCTTAGTTAGCATCTTCGGTTACTAAAAAACTGTTTTTCATCACCTAAAACAATATATTGTAATGGTTAGTAAATTAGTTAATACTTGGCATAACACCTAAAAATAGAGGCAAAGCTCGGCTAATTATTTACTTCTTCAAAATGTGCCACATTGGGTTTTCTTCATAAGAAGGCTATTTCTTCAAGGACAGAAAAGGAAGGGATGTATATCAAAAGGACTACAAATAACAACTGCAAGTCATAAACAGCAGAAATGTCTTGGTAGTCTCCTTAAAAAGAGAAACACTGAACAAGAAAAGAGCAGCAGATCAAATGTAAGAGAGCATCAGTTTAAGTTTAAAATAGCAACTTTAAATTGCTGGGAATTTAGAATATCAATTAGATGATCTTGAATTTTAATATTTAGTCAAATGATTGAATGTCTGTGTTGAGTAATGATCCTTTGGAATAGCTAAATGACTCTAAATGTTTAAGAACTGCATGGCCCCTTTTGTTTATAGAAACAAAGTTAATTCTTGTTGATGATTTTTGTTCACAAAACTCTGTCAAGGTTGAAAAAATAACTCGCTGACAAAACATATGACCTGAAATCATCTCCATTATAAGTTGACTAGAAACACTGTCCACTTCCCCAAAAGAGTTCTGAATTTGAAGGGACCGCATGATTTTGTTTGTTCACCCACAGAAAACTGAGCTGGCTTTTGCTGGAGGGTTGCTTCTCTCCTCAGTAGGAGCCTCTGCTTCCTGATTATAGATGTAGGCTGCAGGCCTATTTATGAAAAAAGCGAGATAGAGGTTGAAAATGGAAATTTTGAGCAAAATATGGACTTGTTTAAAATCTTTTTACCTTATTGGAGTAATTAGTTCTGTTGGGATAAGGAAAAAAAGCGAGAGAACTATACTTTGATCCCAGGGGCTTCCCTCTTCAGTGAGAGAATGGTTATTAATGAATGAATTTATTAGTTTTGGGTCTAAAAGAGGTCATTTAAAAAAACTAATGGAGACAAAGAAATCTCCCTCTGCAAGTAGATTTTAACTTTTCTTTTTGATGCTGAAGGTGGCTCTGCTCAGATACTAGTATGACACCAGGTTCCTTGTCATCCTACAAGAACTTCACATTGATTTGTTTGACATATTGAAGTCTTTCTCACCTGTGTGTTAGAGGAACCAGGTAGCAAATTCTTTGAAAGCATGGGGATCTGAAAAACAGTCCTCCTTCCCATCAGAGGCAGTAATACACCCCTTTTTCCTAATTGTAATTGACTATTTTTGATCTCACCAGAAAGAATTAATTGTTTACTGAGATTAACTTGTCTAAAGCAGTAGCTTGCTAGGGGAATTTAACCATCTGATGGTGTTAGATATAAGCAGATTGAATTAAAACAGCTTCCAGCTGTTGGGTGAAGATGATAACTTATCAGGGAAAGGGGAAAAGAGCTCTGAGGCACTTATAATTAAAAGCGCTTTATATCTGGTTGCTACGAACCATGTATTCTCTAGGTGTAAATGTGATTATATGATTTCCCTACTGCTAGTCAAAAAGCAATGGTTCAGTGAAGTGTCACTGAAAAAATTCTAATTAACTTCATAACTTGTTTTTCTAATTGGAAAATGATATCTTATACCCATGAAATGTATACCACATCTTTTTTTTTTTTAGTGTTTTCTTTAACTGAAAATAAAACTTTGCATTCCAAAACCACTTTTATGATCCCTGGCAGTCACAACAGGAAATGATTTATAAATGGAAGGCTACTTTTTCTGAGCTATGTTCATGCACTTGTTTAAAGAATGCTGCTAATTTACTATATTTACAACAGCAGAAATCCCCTTGGTATGTAAATTACTATTTTGAAATATGCATACAATAGAACCATGCAGTAACTTTCTAATTGTGTGGTTATTGTTATGGACTGTGATATTTAATGGTACATACTTACAAACTAGTTGGTAATTGGAGTTAAGTATAATAGTTGAAAGATTAGTTAACTTGTTTGCTGGACTTGGGTTTTACAAGATCTTGGTCTCAAAGACTGAAATTAAGAGATAATTATTGGGTTATTAGCTGGTAGCTGTCACATACACAGTCAAAAACTACAGGGTAATTCAGCTGCTACTATTTGTGCCTCGTAAAATGAAGGAATACTGAAATGTTATGATCAGGCTTAGCCTGGTACATGTATGAGACAGGTTGATGTGAACACTGTTGAAGACAGCTTGTTTAAATGACATCTGAAATGTATAAGATTTGTGAGGGAGGGGTTATGCTGATTTAATTCTAGCTCTCTCATTTTTAAACCTTCACCGAAAGGTAGTTAAGTGTTCAGCCTGCATTCCTGTATACTGGTGGGATTTGGGGTCTGTTTTGGTTTGGTTTGGTTTTAAATCTCCATAAATTTTTTATGGATGCCAAGGGATTAACTGGCTGTTGATTTATTTAGATCCTTCAAGCTTTTCCAGCCTTAACCCCATTCAGCAAGAGTTGTTGCTACTGTGGTGCATCTGTCCAGAAAGAACATATGTTAAGAGGGAAGAAATGTTTTTGAGACTGAGAGAATTGAGAAACATAGTTGTTGCATGCTCCAGCAGTTTGGTAGCAAGGGGAGATACTTTTAGCCTTTATTTTTCTGTTTCCTTTTTTTGTAATTGTTTTAGAAGATACTCTTGTTTTCTCTTCATTTTGTATCAGGGATCTCACAGTTGTTCTCCTGAGCAGTTTCAGTGCCATAAAAGAATATGATTTGTACAGTTGCTTTATTTTTTTAAGTTAGTAGATCTTTAATGTCATACATTTTTTTTAAGCCATGCTAAAAATATGCATTTTTTTGTTGTTCTAAAGTTTGCAATAATCAGTGAATCCCTGTTACCTGAATGCTTATTATACCAGGGGATTTGAACAAAATCTCAGTGGTACAGTGATGCTTGTAAAAATTATTTGAATGAATGCCATTAGTAGATGAATCCACTTCAGTTATTATAACATGTTCTTCTACATCTGAAATATGTTTGTGGCTGCTGTTTAATCATACTGAAAATGTAGTTAGACTTTTATATATATATATATATATATATATATTAAGCCAAATATAGTTATAGGTTAGACAGAATGTCAGATATTCACCCTATTTTGCCTTATGTTAGTGATGTACCGAGGAAGAAATTGCTACTTTAAAACATCAGATTATTCCTTCTTCCAGAGGTGACACGATCATACTGTCCATGGATAACAGAAAATAATATGCATTACAAATTACCGATGAGTGCTAATGTGGGACGTTAAAAAATATACCTGAGCCTAGCTGAGGCTTCTTGTACTGTATCTCACATCTGTAACATAAATGTTTCAAGTCTGGCATGCCATGTCACTTGTACCCTACTGCAGATAGATGGCAACTGTATTTTGACTGGGTATTCACTTAGTTGTGGAAATTTTGTATCTTTGTTCTGGAAGGATGTCTAGCTTGCTTTATTAAAGAAAGAACTAACAAATGCAAATTTTGGGGATGTCTCTGCTTGTATTCTCCAAAAAGGGAGGGGAAAAAAGCCTCATGACTACAGATTATGTTGAAATTGTGCTTTCTCAAAATACAAGTTCATCACCGTTCTGAAAAGTAAGCATTTCTTTGGTAGTCAGTAGCTACCTTGGTTAACCTAGGCCAAGATCCCAATCTTTTTACACTTTTTTTCCTGATTGTGCTTGTAAGTGTTCTCCACCAGTCTGAGGTATGTATTCTTATTCAGATAACATTAACCTTAAAAGATAAAATTACTACATTTGGTTTATGATTTTAGGACCTGAGCCTGCACAACACTGTTTTACTTGACCCTAACACTTACAGCACACGATCTCGATACCATCACTTACTGATTATCTGTTCTACAGCACAGCAGGGCTGTTTAAGCACAGGCATATAACAGCCTTAACTTGGTCAATTCTCTGACTTCATTCTGTCAGCCCTTTATTAATACTTTAGCTTCTGTGTTGTACATGGCTGTCTTGAGTGAATAACTATGCTAGTAATTAGACATGAAAAGGTGCAACTTAGTGAAAGAAACTGGATTTGGCTGCAGTATAGTAATCTTGCTGTCTCGTAATCTGCACTGTTCTTTTAAGAACACTCATCAGTACAGTTGCTGCCTGTATTTCCTGTGTCACAGGTCTGCAAGACTTCAAGTGTAGTAGTGAGCTAAATTTAGAGATGAAAGAAAAAGTCTCTAGAAAAAATAGCAATTTGAAACATTCAAAGATGTAACCCCTTGGCCCCTGCATACAACATTGGTTTTAAACTACTAAAGGTGTGCTAAAGGCTTTGGAAATGTAGAAAGACTGGTGCCTGGTTTAATGATGCAAGTGCACAGCCTACAAGTATAAGCCAACAGGAAAGAAGGCAGCAGAATTTTGTGTACAGTAAGCTCTTCAGGGCAGAAACTCTCTTTTTGTTCTGTGGTTGTACACTGCCTCTCATACATTGTAGCCTAATTCATCTTTAGGGCTCCTAACCACTATCACAATTCAAATAATAATGTTCATATTTTCTGATGGTAGACTTTCTGTGACAAACAGTGGTCTAGATTTAATTTGTTATACAACTCAACAGAAATCACTAGAATTACGTACAACAAGTATTTAGTCCAATATTACTAATTTAGTAATTGCAACTCTGTAGATTTAGAAAAGTTCAATTAAAATAGAGCTATCATCTCCCCTGAAATTAAAAATTGTACCTGCCTATACCCATTCATAAAAGATTCTAAGTGTTTTTTCTAAAGTATGTCACCATAGTTTCTATATGGTTTTTCATGTAGTATCTATGGTAATTTTGTGCAAATTGATCTTCACTTGTAACTTGCAATGTCCTAGCTGATGCTGAGATGCAAGGATGATGAAAAACCACCAAATATAGAGAAAAGAGACTGGAGTTTTAGTTCATATGCACTGTAAGAACTTCAGACTTTCAATTCCACTGATTTAGCACTTTCAGTGTCTTTTACAGTGATAGGGTGAGCAATTCCACAAGCACCAGAAAAAACTGGTAGGCCTTTTCAGTTGAACAATTACTAACAGCACAGAGCTAGTTTTGACCTGGGAAAGTTTCACAGCTTTTCTTCTCACTCTGATCACATGGAAAGCCTCCTTTCCTCTAGGAATCTAAATGGGAGCTTCCAGATTAACCCTTCTTCTCAGAATTACTAGGCACCAGTGTTCAGCAGCCCTGGAAGCTGACCTGACTGTATTTGAGGTATAATAAGAGTACAGACTGGTACATCATTTTGAAAAGGAGGCCAATTTTTCACAATGTGATGATTTTTATTTTTCTCTGTACATGTTAATCAAATTGAAAGGCCTTATGGAATACACAGAGGCTTCCAAAACAGCATTAAATTCCCTTTGTTAACAGAAGGAACATCAGGCAGACAGACATTAACAGGCACTTTTTCAAAGGAACTATTTTAAATGCTGGATAAATTACATATCCAATGGGGGCCCTAGGCATGCAGCATGCACACTATGTGTGCACTAATGGGCACACAACCTCTAAACACAGCTGAGGAGGTACTTTTAGTACCAGTCTGTTCCTTTAACACATTCAATCTTTGTATGTTGAATATTTAAATGACATGCAGTTTATTTAACATTTAGAAAGATTTGCAGGTCTCAGAGAGATCAGCCACCAAAATCAGCTCCCTTGCACTGCTAGAGCATCTGACTTTCATTTTTGTTTTCCAGTTCAGAATTGGCCAACTTGTGGTAATTAGCAAAGCCAGTAATGTATTATTTCATCATGCAAATACCAAAAAGTGTTTTATGTTAAATAAATACCATATTTACCTGAATCCAAGATGACTTTGAATTTAATATGACCCCACCCTGAGGGATCACCCTGCCACTTGTCCCATTGCCCCATGCCCTCTCTGCCTGCCCCTTGTTCCTCTTGTACCTGTGCCTGCCCTTGCTGTCATTTGTCCTCTGCCACCTGCCCCTCCATGCCTGTGCCTGACCCCCCACCACCTGCACCTCACCCCTTGCCCCCCCACCCCATACTCTCTGGAGCCAGAGCAGAAGGTAAGGAGGGGACGGGGGGGGCACACTGGGAAAGGCAGGAAATGGGGGTTGCAGGAGGTAGTGGGAGAGACAAGGGCAGGGGGGACAGGCACAGTGGGGCAAGATGGAGCTTTCTTTCCCTTATGCTGGCTGAGAAGAAAATCTTATCTTGGATTTGAATAAATACAGTAACTTTTAAAGGCTCACATCTGCTACTTTTATTCCAGTGTAATACCTCAGTCTGCAAGTAATCTCATTGCAAGCAACAGGGGCCATTCACTGAGCACCAGAACTGTTTCTGATTCCACTCACTGTTCTGGTATCTCCTTGTGTTTCCTCCTCTCAATGCTTTATCTGCAGGTTGTTTCTCTGTTTATCTTAGAGTGTGAGCTCTTCAGTGCATTGAACCATCTTTCAGCATCTTTTACAGTGCTAATTGGAATGGGACCCTAATATCTATGTACTAAATATAGGTAGGGGTAGGTATTTGGGATTCTCAGCCATTAGTACTTGTCTCTATTTTGGATTTGTGTCACAGACTGAAAACTTTTAAAATATGGGTAAAATTTAACCCCAATTCTGCAATGAATTGCATGCATTTGCAAAGCAGCAAAGATATGGGGATATAAGAAACTCCCCAGGAAGTTCACTTTCTTAATTCCTTCTTTGTTTGGAGGCCACAGTGCTTCTTGTGCCAAAAGTCTGGCAGTTTTGTGATATTTCATATGACTCATGAGAACCTGAGCTGTTTACAGTCTCCCAAATAAATTAATTCTTCGTCCCTGAGATCAAAGCTAATATCTCATTGTGACCGAAGGAAAGAGCACAGCCATTGACCCAGCCAGTGTATTCCTTGTTTTCCTGCATTAACCATTTTATCCAAGTCTCTGGGAAGGATTATGCAACAGGTGGTAGCCATATGATACTTCCCTTGAGTATGATAGGCTTGAAGCCTTTTTTTTTTTTCGATTCACACTTTCCTTGTAATTTTTATATTATCCAAAACATTCTTTTCAATTGACCAGAGAGATGTTTTTCTATTTGTTTTCATGCCAAAAAGAAAAAGTTTAGTTGAATGAAAAGTGTTTAGTTTTCAAGATTCTTTTACCATTGTTTTATATCATTGTTAAATGTAGGTAATTGTATCTCTGGCCCCGTTTTACAACAGGGTCAAATTATGCCCTTTTGTTTCACATGCAGAGTAGTCCTCCTTGTGCCAGTCTCTCCTTTGTACCTCTCCTCTGTGGCATCATGCTCTCTGTGAGGTCTGAGACCCATGTTGAGTGAGGGAATTGAATATGTGAGGACCAGGGAAGGCATGAGTAGCCTGTAGTGTGACTCTGGGGGACACACAGAGCCCCATGAGCTTTAATTATAAAAGGTAATACATATTCAGGCTGTATCACATTGTTCTCTTTACCATGTCTACTTCCTCCACAGCAACCATACTGCTCGGGGGGGAGACCCTGCCAGTCTCTCCCTTCATTGGAGCTATCCTTCCAGGTAAGCCAGGAGGAAGCTGGACTGTGTGAGACCATGCAGGTGATCCCAGCCTCTTGTGTGCCCTGGCATCTGCCAAATTTAGATTTATTTTTCTACAAATATCCTCTCTCCAGCCTTACTCCCCAAATCATTCCTAGTTATTGTGAGGGGATCTCAGGAAATAGACTCCCCCCAGTCCATTTTTCATCCCTGAGCTCCCTCATTGTGCCTTCACAGGCTGTTTTTCCCCCTTTAATCGATGACTTTCTCAAAAAGGTTGCTTGTTGCCAAAGCTTCAGGGTTTCTGGGCCCTGCTAGCTGGTAGGGAGTTAATTCTCCAGCTGCTCCTCAGACAGGTGCACAGGACAACTAATTGGGCCTGGAGCCCTGGGCTGGGCCTGGTCAGACGCTCAGGTGCAATGCGCAGGAAATTACCCAGACAGCCAAGCTAGGGCTGAGGGAGGCGGGGAAGCTGGCAGCACTTCTGTGGGCTGCCTCTGTTCGGCTTTCTCTTGTAGGTACTGCACTCTGCAAACCTTTTGCTGAACCCTGAGGAGACCCCCACCCCTTCCGACAGATTTCCTTCAGTCTCCTCACCCCCCACCAGCTTCTGGGCCTCTCTGAAAGAGCCATTGCCGAACATGTAGGTAGGTATGGCGTTAATGTCCAATAAAACGTGGTGTCTCTTAGTAACGTAAAACATAAGCCTCCTACCGAGCCACACTCATATAGCCTTGGCTAATTGATCAATTTGCTGCCCCATTCAAGTTGTGTGGGTCCTTTTACTCTAAGGAGTGAGAAGCTTTCGCAAGGAAATTCTTTGCACTCATTTTCATACTTGAAAGCAGAGCCGTTTGCATTCTGCACAAGAAGGCTGTAATTTGTGAAAGTGCTGCAGCACCATGGTATTGCTAAAAAAGCGGGGAGGGAGGAATGTAAATTAGCTTGTCTGACTCATTCTGCACATCTT